TTTAGGGTTTCGGGTTTGGGGGTCACTTGTTGGTTGTTTTGGTGTTCACGTGTTTGTACGAGGATTCTAGACATGGTAAGAGGGCTTCTCGGAAGACGAGGCTTCAAATCTAAGGGTTCACTTGTTGCATCGGTAGTTCAAGGTTAACGGTTCAGGGCTACGACAAACACCTGGTACCCGGATGCACAAGGGACTGAATGTGCAGGCTAGGCTATAAGTGCGGGTGTACTTAACATATGGGTAGTTTTCTAAAATAGGGTCCCTTTGGGGGTCCTTTTTATAAGGGTGCCGTACTACAGTGGGGACCTAAAGTGGGACCCTAATTTAGAGAACTACCCATATCCCGAACCGGAGTGCGCACAGCATCAAGTACCCTAGCCTTCCTTTCCCAAGCCGACCCCACACTTGCGTAATTTCAAAGCTAAGACCAAGACCCTAAACCCTAAACCCTACGGTTTACGGTTTAGGGTTTAGGGTAGCCATAAACCAACAAGTTGAACAACCTTCATTCCGAAACATGCTTCGCCCTCAAGAGAAGAAACACTGTAAGAAGCTAACTTAAGGTGTTTCTCACTTGGGGACCGCGAACAGGACAACCCCGAACCCTACCCCCAAACCCAAAACCCTGAATTTATACACCGCGGACCCTATACCCTGGACCCAAAACCCTGAAGCTAAATCCTAGATATTTTAGGGTTTAGGGTTTAGGGTTCCTGGGCTCCAAACCCTGAACAATGCACCCACTGATCTCTACACCCCGAAGCCCAAACCCTGAGCCCTGAACCTCTCTCAGCACTTACAATACCTGGATTCGATTAAGTCGTCTACAAGGGTTTAGTTTAAGGTTTATGACCCTAGAGGCCCAATACCTTTAAATCCAAGGGTTAAATTCAAGCCCTACCAAAAGCCCAAAACTGATGCGAAGTTGTAAGATAGGCGCACTGAGAATTGGGACAGGGTTTTTGGGGTAAAGTACGGAACGGTTATAATAGGGAAATGCTAACGAAGAATGGGTAGGTATGCAAGCTGCTAACCTCTATGTTAAACCCAAAACCCCCATGGATCCAGGGATATTGAATAATTTTAGAAGGAACCGAAAACCACGAAAGAGAAAAACGAGCCAACTGGGAGACCTAGTCGCCTAAATCGGAGGCATATTCTAACATACCGTTTGCATATTCGGGTGGATAATCAGAACCTACAGAAAAAAGGTTATGGACGCGAATGTGGTCCCACCAAGTTGCCAGGAGTTTGTCGGCAGTGCCGCCCAGGCCGCTCTTCGATTCAGCCGCCTTAAGCGCAGGCCATAAGAAGGGTGGGCTTTGAGTTTAGGGTGTACGGTTTTTGGGTTTAGGGTTTGGGGGGCCTCTTCTGATGAGAATAGGGGGTTTATAACTACGGCTTTGTAGAGGTTTTCATGGGATTTCATGGCAAGCTGCGCCGCTCGGACGTCGGAACCCTATTCAAAGACGCTGAATCCTGAAATATCCTGAACTCTCATGAGATCATCTGACCTCCCAAAGGCTGAAAGGGGTTTAATATAAGCTATAAGCATCGATAAAGAAACCACATTATTTACTATAGATCCCCATTATGGTAACTTGAATTAAATCATTTAGCAAGAACTCAGAAGCTGCACCAAGAAAAACCCTAAACCCCCCCAACCAGAATCCCCTTCTCTGCAAACCTCAACCGGCGAAGTGAACTCCAAACCTCCTAAACCCTAAACCCCTGGCCCTAAAGCCCAGACCTAAACTCCTCGAACTTAAACAGCCTGATAGGAAACCGCGTTCCCCCTAATGTAGCGGCCTAAATAATTACCAATACTACTCTGGGGTTTCCGAAATTGTTGTAGTATATACCCCAAGACCCTATTCTAAGTATGAAGGCCCTATAGTAAGCCCCCGTCCGGGTTGAAGAGTCCATAGGGCATGTCGACCATGCGTGCATTGCCTGCCAGGCGGGTGTTTTTGGGTCATGGTCAGGCTTTAGGGTTTCGGGTTTAGGGTTAGTAGGGGTGAAGGTTTAGGGTTTAGGGTTAGTAGGGGTGACAGTTCAGGGTGTAGGGTTTAGGGGTTTACGGCTTGGGGTTTAGGGTTTAGGGAGTAGGTTTAAGCAGAGCAAATCAGATTGAGGACTTCTGGCTGCAGGTTTGTGCCTGGCAGGGATGTAACGTCTAGAGAGTTTAGACGGCATCTTACGCCGCGGACCTCAACAAATCTTACATCCCGACCATCTGCAATCAACCCACATCTCCATCTAAACCTCAACCAGGACTATGATTCTCATAAAGACACGAGATTCCGACCGAAAGGCTGTGAAAGAACGGGTGTTCCTTCATCATCCTTAAACCCTAAACCCTAAACCCTAAACCCTAAACCCTAAACCCTAAATCACGGGTTGACGTCAGGGCTCAGGCTCAGGGTGGGCTCGTGAATCCTAGGGCCCCAGCTAGAGGGCTCCGGGCTTGGGCTTCCGGCCTAAGGATTTAGGGTTCAGGGTTACCCTAAACCCAAAACCCTAAACATTTCCTATCAGGGTTTAGGGTTTAGGGTTTAGGGTTTAGCCCAAAAGATTCCTATTAGGGTTTGGGGTTTTGGGGTTTAGGGTTCCCCACTTAGAGGGCCTTGTTACTCTCCATTGTAGCTCCTCTTCTTTGCTGTGATAAGTCAGTTTTGCCTTTCGCATCTTTCATAAGGTATCCAAAAAAAGAACTACAAGGGATATTACAGGTGTACCCTAAAACCCTTGTAACGATTTCCTCGATTCTGTAAGTCCCAGCGCTCTAGACAAAGTCGTAAAAAGGCCTCAAAGAGCAGGACAAGACGTCGGGGATATCTTACTATACCTAGACCCCCAATAACCTACCTGATTCAGGACTTCTATAAGGACATCGATAGGGCGTCCGAAAACGGAAGTTTTTGTAGGGTCGTAATGATGATAGCATGGACGATAAGGGCATAGCATGACTAGTTAGAAACCCCGAGCCTCCACCCGGTTCGATTTAGGGTTTTAAGCAGGAGCCTGATCAAGAAACCCTGGCCCTGTAGCCCACAAATAGTACTGTTCATATAAAAAGCCCTAATAAGGGCCCGGGGTTTCTTGATCAGGTCCCTACACTAGGCATTTGAGGCTTAGGGTTCAGGACCTAGGGTTTGGGCTTAAGGTTTCGGGGTTCAGGATTTCAGGTCTTACGGTTGATGATATAAATCCTGCATTACCCATAATACGGAACATATCATAGTTCCACAGTTTAGGGTCCTTAAAGTATCGCAGGATGTTTATCATCAACAGTAGGGTGTAGGGTTCTGGATTTGGGGTTTGGCATTGCACGAAAACCCCAAACCCAGACACTCTGAAACCCCACAACCCTACTTGGAGGCCCAGGGGACTAAGTAAGTAGGTTATAAGTAGGGTTATCATTGGTCTATCTCCATTTAGGGTACTGATATCTCTACTTATAACCTACTTACTAAGTCCCCTGGGGCTCCAAGTATATAGTACCCTTAAAGGGTAAGACCCGTACATCGAAGCCGAAAAAAAACGAGGAACCCTCCCTGCTGTCGGGCTGCACTCCGAGTTGGTGGCGCTACCAGCGAGCCTCAGTTCAAAGAAGGTAACATCGGGCCTGAAATGTTTCGAGTGGTATAGGGGCCAAAGGAACCACCAAATAGTATTGGCAAAT